CCCCCCACCCCCTGCTCCTACCCAATGCCTGGGTCCCAGAGCTGCCGCCACCACACACTTCTCCCTCCAGGCGCTGGGGCGCGTGCATAGAACTAGCAAGAGCCTCATTTCTTTAAGCAAAGAGCTGCATGTGGCTCGAGAGCCGCAGATTGGCCACCCCTGTCCTAGGCTGAGCACCAGTTACTTCTGTTGGTGTTCGTAACAGGAGCTTCACAGCTGGCTGGGGAGGTCTGATAAGGCATCAAATGCTTCCCCAGTTGGTCCTGAAGTGTTGATAGAAGTGAAATTTTTAGCTACAGCTATAGAATAAAAAGGAAATGTGATCATTTTATTGCCAAATTAGATGCTCATGGAGAGGTAAGCAAGATCTGTACTGAGTGAGCTGCTCTGCCTAAGGCAATATTTTTCTCTTTTACAGTTAATCTCAACAAAAAGAGGGAAGAGCTGTAGCTTTTACTCCACCATTGACGTGGAAATAGCTTAGAAGTTAAGAAAAGTATTACACTCAAGTGTCTACAGAAGAGTCTGTTGAATATTTACAACCATGAGTCATCATGAAACTGAGTTGCAACAAAGGTTATCTTCAGATAAACTGACCAGAGAAACACATGAAGGTCAGATTCATAGTCTTGGGAGACATGTGAGGTAAGAAAGCCATTCACCTCAGCCAGAAAATGATCAGAAGAGACAAAAACAAGCCTATAGGCCTTTCATTATTGCACTAGAAAGCTATAAAGCATGAACATTCCACCTGACTTTAAAGCAGGGCCACTCAATTTTAGAAGCTCCAGGGGCCACAATGATACTCACAGCACATGCCGAGGGCTGCAACTTAAGTGTAGTTGCATATACATGCAAATATATATGCAATAGCTTCTTTCACACTGACGGGAATGAATACAAAGATTAAGGCAAGACTACACAACACACAGGCCCCATTTAAGTCAGTTCTGCTGATATTAATAAAATGCAACATTTACCCAATTTCCATCCATATGACAGCACTTTTCATGAGCAATGACAGTCCAGCAAGTTAACTACTAAAATGCACATCAACAGAAAACCATTACATTGACTACTTTTTTGTTTTGGCTCCGAGTGTTGTGTTAAAGTTTCTGATGTGAGTTCAAACCTAACCACAAGGATAAAGGAAATCCAACATCCAGACAAAAACATATGGGCTGTGTCTACACTGGCACCCTTTTCCGTAAAAGGAATGCTAATGAGACACTTCGGAATTGCAAATTCCGCGGAGGATTTAAATATCCCCCGCGGCATTTGCATGAACATGGCTGCTGCTTTTTTCCGGCTCGGGGTTTTGCTGGAGAAAAGCGCCAGCCTAGACGGGATCTTGCGGAAAATAAGCCCTTTTCTGGAAGATCCCTTCTTCCTACGGAAAGGAGTGTCCATGTAGACACAGCCCTTTTCCAGAAAGGGGTGACAATGTAGACACAGCCCTTAAGATTTTATGTGCCCTTTCTGGAAAATATCAGGAAAAGTCTGATCACTAAGCGACTATTGCATATATATTATTTGACCATGTAATAGGACTTTATAACTTCCTAGATTTGTATTATCCTGGTATTTGCATGTAATTTTGCATGTTTTTTGAGACAAGATGTGTCACATGCGGTAAGAAACTATACACCGGTGTTTGGAAACGTGTAGGGTTGTGCGTCGGGTGGGAGGCAGGGTTGTTTAGGGGTTTTTTTGTTTGTTTTTGTACTAAAAATATTTTTGTGACATCATACATCTCAACATTAATTGTTCATTCATTAATTTCCTATTTCTTAAAATGAACATAAGAATATAAGAACGGCCGTACTGGGTCAGACCAAAGGTCCATCTAGCCCAGTGCCTGTCTGCCAACAGTGACCAGCACCAGGTGCCCCAAAGAGGGTGGACCAATGACAATGATCAAGCAATTTGTCTCCTGCCATCCCCCTCCAGCCTCTGACAAACAGAGGCCAGGGACAGAGG